GGGAGTAGAAAGCCTCATCTTTCTCCCACGGAGCGGCTGGTAGTTTCGAACCACTGACCTTAAGGTTCGCAGCCCGATTCGTAACCACTACGCTAGGAGAGTTTAGACTCCAGCAAATGTGAATTAGCCTCATCCTTAATGTTATTCACATCTGTCTATCATTCTGATTGTTCTCCTCTCTCTCGGTCCCCAGGTTTTACTCTGTCACCATTTCAGACTTAGATACTAGAAAGCGGTTGTGTCTCAGTGCAGCAGAAGGCAGTCTGTAATTGCAAAAGAATTTTGCAATTTCTGTGAAATTGCACAAGGTTTTGCATCGAAAGTGAAATACGTCAGAAAAGGGATGCGGGCCACAAGCTGATTCTACATAAGGAAGAAAAGTAATCAGCACCTGATGTCATCCTCATTGGCAAACATAATCACTGCCCGAGCATTAGGTGTTTCTAGCAGGCGCTTGATGATTTTTTCAAATTCTCCAGGCCTTGGTTCACGAGGAATTTTCTGCGATTGAGCAATACAGACACCACCTAAGTAAAACAACATACAAACAAAAAAGCTGATTCAGAAAGAACATTCATTTAATTAAGAAAACGAATGGGCTAGTTAATTCACACAAAAAAACACATGATTCAGGATAGGATATTATTTCTCAAATAAAGGTATCCATTACTTAATCAGACAGCAATGTATTTGTTTCTTTCTAATTTAAGCATTATTACTGTGGTTGTAGGAAGGAGTTCTGGTGTGGCTCTATGGGTTAATGCACTGAACTGCAAGATCTGTTTGAACTGCAAGGCTGGTGGTTCAAGCTCACCAGCCGCTCCTTAGAAACCCTATACAGGGTGACTATGAATTGGAAAAAAACTTGATGGTACTTCACAACAACAACAGGTTAAGAAAAGCAGCATGGCATAAGATGTATGATGAGATTCAAGGAAAGAAAGGAAGGATGGCTGTTCTGATTTACTGAACGTAAGACATAGAAAAAGCTCCAGCATTAATAAAAAGGATGGGTATATCTTATATATATATTGTTGGTTGTTAGGTGCCATCAAGTCAGTACCGACTCATAGTGACCCTATGCACAACAGAACAAAACACTGCCCGGTCCTGGGCCAACCTCACAATTGTTGCCCTGCTTGAGCCCATTGATACTGCCATATTGCCAATCCATCTTGCTGAGGATCTTACTCTTTTTCTCTGACCCTCCACCTTACCAAACATGATGTCCTTATCCAGTGACAGGTCCTTCCTGACTATATGTCCGAAGTATGAGAGATGAAGTTTGGCCATCTTGGCCTTTAAGGAGCACTCTAGCTGCACTTCTTCCAACACAGATTTGTTGGTTCTTTTGGCAGCCCATGGCACTTTCAATATTCTCCTCCAACAGCATAACTCAAGAACAGCAATTCCTCTACGGTCTTCCTTATTCACAGTCCAGCTTTCGCATGCTTATGAGGTTATTGAAAGTACCATGGCTTGGGTCAGGTGCACCTTAGTCCTCAAGCTGACGTCCTTGGTCTTCAATGCTTTAAAAAGGTCTTGTGCAACTGATTTGCTTAATATAATACATCATTTGATTCCTTGACTGCTGCTTCCTTGAGTGTTGATAGTTGATCCAAGAAGAATGAAGTCCTTGACAACGTCAATCTTTTTTCCATTGATAGGAATGTTATTTATTGGTCCAGTGGTGAGGATTTTTGTTTTCTTTACATTGAGATGCTATCTATACTGAAGGCTGTGTTCTTTGATCTTCATCAGTAAGTATTTTAAGTCCTTTTCACTTTCAGCAAGCAAGGTTAAATCATCTAAAAATAACAAGTTGTTAATGAGTCTTCCTCCAATCCTGATACCATGTTTTTCTTCATAGAACACAGCTTCTTGGATTATTTGCTCAGTATATAGGTTGAATAAGTATGGTGAAAGAATACAACCTTGTCACACACCTTTCTTATTTTAAAACATTCAGTGTCCCCATGTTCTGTTCGAACAACTGCCTCTTGGTCCAGGTACAGATTCCTCATGAGCATAATTAAGTGTTCAGGAATATTCATACTTTGCAATGTTGTCCATAACTTGTCATGATCCACACAATCAAAAGCTTTTGTGTAGTCAGTAAAGCACAGGTAAACATCTTTCTGATATTCACTGCTTTCAGCCAAGATCCATCAGACATCAGGAATGATATCTCTCATTCCACGTCCTTTTCGGAATCCTGCTTGAACATCTGAAAGTTCTGTGTCAATGTATGCTTGCAGCCATTTCTATATTACCTTTAGTAAAACTTTACTCGCATGGGAGATCAAAGATATTGTCCAGTGATTTTCGCATTCCATTGGGTCACCTCTCTTTGGAATGGGCACAAATGTAGATCTCTTCCAATCAGTTGGTATATATCCCATCTATTAAATAGTGTATGTTTTGCCACTTTCATTTAGCCAATGTTTTTGTTGTTGATTGTTGTTTCTGAGTCCATTCCAACTCATGATGATGCCATGGATGATAGAATGAAGCCTTGCCTGGTCTTACAATATCTTCACAATCATTGCTATGTCCAAGTCTAGAGTGGTACCCACTGTGTTTTTTAAGTGCCTTCAACCTAAGGGCTTTACCTTCCAGTGTTAGGTTGGTAGTTTTAATCAAATGGGTTCCAGGACCCCATGTGTGCAGATGAGAACTGCCACATAACATTTTCAAGGTAATTAGCTTTTAAAATCAGATTGCTGGACCTGCCTTCCAAGTAGCCTCTGGATGGTTTCAAACCACCAATATTTCAGTTAGAAGTCAAGCTCTACTATTTGTACCATTCAGGGGCTCCTTCCAACAGGATATTGGAAAATCTTCTATTTTGATCCCTAGAGGTTTCATTCATTAAGTTCTAGAAGTAGCTCACCTTTCTTCCTATTCTGCTTTATTCTGGAAGCTAGCTCAACTCAAATCTGTCTCCCATGGGTGACCCTGGTGGTATTGGAAATATTGGAGGTATAGCTTCAAACATCACAATAACATATAAATCACCTATAATGTTTAGGGTTTGTGTCAACTTGTCTAGGCCAGGATCTCCAGAGGTTTAGGAATTGGGATGTGCTTATTCCCAAGGTGATGAAACCTAATATAGGCATAGTTAGCTCTATGATGAGCAGCTATGAGCAGCCATTCAATGGAAGGGATGCTTCCTTGGGAGTATGGCCTGCTCCCAATATGATGGACAAGCAGGAGTGATGCTCTGTCTCTTCTGCTAGGGAGGTGGAACTCTACAATTGTAAGATAATACACTTCTCTTTGTACATACATATACATATATATGCTTCAGTGATTTTACTTTTCTAGAAAACCTGGCCTAAGACAGCACCACAATATGAAAATCTGACAGACGGGTGGTGGTATAGCTAAGTATTACAGCAGGAGTCTCATGCATCCACCATGATGCTATGCCAAAGAAGAGAATTTAGAAAATATCTCTGCCACTGAGATAGGAGGAAAGGAAAGAGAATTTCCCTCTTATAGTAGCACATAGAGATAAGATATGCTCTGGTGTTAGAAGAGAAAGCAACATTAGCAATAGATTTCAACTGTATTGATGGGTAAGTGTTTGGCTGCTAACTGAAAGGTTGACAGTTCAAACCTTCCCAATGACTCCATGAGAGAAAAACCTGGTGACCAGCTTCAATAAATATTACAGCCAAGAAAACTCAAAGAAGCAGTTCTATTCTGTCATAAGGGGTCCCTTAAAGTCAGAAAGGGCTTAACACATACCAACAACATGGCTTAAAAAGGCATTTTTTGAGTCAACGAAGAAGTAAATCACCATTTACAGCATTGCTTCAGGAGGCAGAGACAGGTTTACTTCTGAACAACTGACAACACACTGAGTCTCACAGTCATTACTGAGGCCACTACACTTCAGGCAATGGGATGAACCCTAGGAATACTGAGAGACAAGAGTTCCAATAAATTATCACAGAATGTGGGGTTAAGTTCTAGAATTAAGGGGGCATAGCATGCAATGTGAGCATAAAGACAGGAGGAACTAATGTTCCTGGCTTTAAGGATAAATATAAGCCCAATGGGGAGAAAGAAGAGTCATTTCTGGCTAAGATATAAAAGAATATTGCTTGATCATCATATAGGGTACAGGCTGGCTGGAGATGATGTTGGAAAGAATGGCCAGGTCCAGCTTGAGAAGGACTTTGCTGGACATGCCAAAGAACTCAGACTTTATTCTGAAAGCAATGGGAAGCCATTGAAGGTCATATGCAAGATAATTGGACAAAACTTAGGACAAAACTCTGGTAGCCATATAAAGAAGAAACTTCTGGTAACATGTCAGTGGGTCAATGATCTAACTTAATGTTTGTGGCAATAGTGTATGACAAATAAAGGGTATAAATGCTGTCAAGTTGGTTCTAACTCTCAGAGAGTCAGAACCTTACAGGGTTTCCAAAGAGCAGCTGGTGAGCTTGACTGCCAACCTTGTGGTTCAAACTGACTTTGAAGTCCAGAGCATTAACCCACAGTGCCACACCAAAACCATCCCTGTAATAATACACTTACGGTGTGTTTTTCAGGGATGGGAATTGCCCATAACCCACAGACTTTGGTGTTGTTACCTGTAGTTAGCTTTATTGTTGTTGCTATTGTTGTTAGTAATACTGAGCCATTCTGACTCATGGTAACCTTCCCTGTAAAAGAAGGAAACATTGCCAAGTCCTCCATAATCCAAGATTATGATCTTCGATATGTTTAAGCCCAGTGTTGCAGCTAGCCTACTGATAAACCATTTACAGTTGTGATACTGGGTTCATCATATGATGAGTTCATTACTTCAGCAAATATTTACTGAGTGCCTGCTATTTACTACATACTGTGTGGGGGCTGTGGATGCAACTGGAATCCGATAAACACAGTCTTTGCCCTCACGAGTTTTAGAAGTATTGTAGTGAACCAGGCATTAGAATTATTGTAGTGAACAAATATAAGTTTATATTTATAAATGGTGGCAAATGAGGAAGACCAGGGGAATTTAATTTAGAACTAGGAGCGGTCAGAGAAGAGCTCCCTCAAGAAGTACCATGTAGTTGGGGTCAGAGGGCGAGCAAATGGGAGAGAACAGAATGAGAAACACCAAAAAAGAACTAGTAGAGTTAGTGAATTAGGGGAAAAGAAGAATTGAATGGACATGAGAGGTAGGCAGGGGCCAGATTGTACATGGCTTTAAAGGGTCTGTGGATGATCATAAATCATTAAAGTGGATATTTCTAGTTTTTCAATATTTGAGTTGCTGTGGCTGGTAAGTGCCATCAAGTTAGTTCTGACTCATAGCAGCTGGTGAGCTTGAACCACCAACCTTGCAGTTCAAACCAACTTTGCAGTCCAGGAAATTAACCCACAGCACCACACCAGGACCCCAATATTTGAGTAGCCCATAGGGCTATGGGGATGTATATGAGCATTACTTGTCACGGGAAAAAGTAATCCTGAGAAGTGCTGATATAGGAGGCGACCTAAGGGGAAGGAAGGGGAAACA